CGCCACGGGGGTGAGAAGTGGACAGCCTGGGGTCGTCGCGCGAGAGGGTCCCCTGCTCCAGGGGCGGCATCACGGTCGCCTGCCGGGCGCGTTAGAACTCACGGCCGCGGGGCCCGCCTGGCGTTTCAGACTCACTAGATCGGGGGTGAGGCCCGAGCACGAGCATTTCTAAGGTCTCAGGTGATGTCCCTGATGTGCCCACTCTGAGGACACTGCCCTCTCTGCTCTGTCCCCGCTCGCCCGGCTTCCTGTCTCTGCATCAGCCCCGACCCTCGTCTCTGCCGACCTCTCAAGCTCCGGCCTCCAGGCCTCGGCTTACTGGTCCCTTGGCCCCCACCCGCCGCCCTCCTTCAACCCCTGCAGGTCAGGATTCAGATTCACATCTTTGGCCGGTTCTGATGGTCAACTCCCTCTTCCTCCCCACCTGGTCGCTGCCGCCCTCCCTCCTGTCTGCTTTGTTTTTCTTAAAACTTATTACAGGGAACGTATTATGTGTATGTCTATCTGCATAGATTGATATAATTCTGTATTATCTCTTTCTTCCTCCCCCTGATTTCCAGTAAGTCTTCGTGAAAGTAAGAATTTAAAAAAGTCTTTGCTGCCGGGTGCCGTGGCTCATGCCTATAATCCCAGCACTTTGGGAGGCAGAGGCGAGAGGACTGCCTGAGCTCAGGAGTCTAAGATCAGCCTGAGCAACATGGTGAAACCTCGTCTCTGCGGAAAAAAAAAAAAAAAAAAAAAAGAGCTAGGCCTGGTGGCATGTATGTGACTGTGGTTTTAGCTACTTAGAAGGTTGAAGCGGAAGGATCACCTGAGCCCAGCAGGTGGAGGCTGTGGTGGCACTGAGCTTGTCCTGGCGACAGAATGAGACTCCAGCTGGAAGAAAAAAAAAAGTTTTTACTTCACTGATGCTTCCCAGTGACTTGACCTAGTGCTGGACACATAGTAGGCTCTCAGGTTATAGGGTGGATAACTGGTAGAACTTTCCCTGTACTTCCTTTAAGGGTGTGTTCATTCCTACAGCAACTGTTTAGTCAGGCACTCTGCTAGCCCCAGGAGGTAGGCTAGGGAGGCAGTCACCATAGCATAACCAGATCAGCAGTGTATTTTGTTTTTTTGAGTCAGGGTCTCTCTCTGTCTCCCAGGCTCATGTACAGTGGCATGATATGGCTCACTGCAGCCTTGACCTCCTGGGCTCAGGTGATCCTCCTGTCTCAGCTTCCTGAGTAGCTGGGACAACTCCACATCCAGCCAATTAAAAAAAATTTTTTTGTAGGGATGGGATCTCGCTATGTTTCCCAGGCTGGTCTCAAACTCCTGGGCTCAAGCCGTCCTCCAGCCTCGGCCTCCCAAAGTGCTGGGATTACAGGCTTGAGTCACCACACCCAGCCAAGCAATGTAAAAAGACCATAAAATGTCGGTGTGATTACAGCTGCAAGAATGGTCCAGGAAAGCCTCTCTGAGCAGGTAATATCTGAACAAGGAACGGGGGAGGGGGCAACTCCAGCCAGAGGAACTGGTGGGAGCCAGAGTCCTGAGGCAGGAATGAGCTAGATGGAACCAGCTGTTGCCCTCCAGTCCCACTGCAAATCCCACTACTGCCTCCTTGCCTTGCTCAGGCCAGTAACACCAGATTCTTTGTTCTTGCTCAAACAAGCCCAGCTCTTCCTGACCCAGGGACCCTGTGACTCCTCTTCTGCCTGGATTGCGTTTTCCTGGTTTGCGCTGGACTGGCTTTTTTTTAGGGCATCCAGGGTCAAATGAAATGTCACCTTCCCAAAGAGACCATTCCTGCCCTTTCCTTGTTTTTTAAATATATAAAATTTTTGTTTTTCAACTGTACCTCAATAAAGCTGGAGGGATAAAAGATGTTTAACATACTCTTCCGGACCAAAGGGAGGCCCAAACCTTACCTGTATATTTAATTCTGAATTGTATCCCACATCTTTAAAAATAAAATAAATTTTAAAAATAAAATAAAAAATTCCTCCACCTTTCCTGGTTTCCCATACCTGTACTTCCTCCTCCCTGGAGAATAATCCCCATGAAGGGAGGGACCATGTCTGTTTTTCTCATTCCTGTTTCTCTACAATTTCAGCAGTGTCTCATTCCTTATCTAAAGCACAGACTCCCGGTGGGACCCCGCCACATTGCCTTCATTACACCCGCCTAGTTATAACTCGATTCAGCAGGACACCACAGTTAGGGCCATTTTTATTTTTTATTGCTGATGAATATTTAAGTATGTGCACACCCAGGGAGCCCACCTCCATCAAACCCTGACCGGGCTCCCTTTGCCCACTCCCAGTCCCACAATGGTAACCTTGATTCTGATACCTGTTGCCACTAATTCCTTTTGTTGCGAGCAATATTTTTTGTATTTTCCCGAAGAGAAGAAGCAGTTGGAGGACTTGCTAAGGAACAAATCCTGGGTCCCAAGCCAGACTTATTGCATCAGAATTTTCTGGGACAGGACTTGGTAATTTGCATATACCTCACAATCACCCAGGTAACTCTTATTTTTTATTTATTTTTTGAGTCTGGGTCTCACTCTGTCTCCCAGGCAGGAGTTCAGTGATCACAGTTCACCACTGCTTTGAACTCCTGAGCTTAGGTGATCCTTCTCCCTCAGCCTCCCCAGTAGCTGGAATGAAAGGCGAATGCCACCATGTTTTTTTTTTGTTTGTTTGTTTTAAAGTAGAGATGAGGTCTCCCTATGTTGCCCAGATTGGTCTTGAACTCCTGGACTCAAGCAATCCTCCTATCTCAGCCCTCCCAAAGTGCTGAGATTACAGGTGTGAGCCACCATGCCTGCCTCCCCAGGTCATTCTTATGATGTAAGCCTTACTGGCTTGGTGGTTAAGTGTGCAGGTCCTGGAATTAGGCTGTTCTATGGCTGTACCAATCCTGAAGCTGCTGTCTTGGAGTTAGATGGATGACCTTGAGTAGAAGATACAGCTTTTCTGTAAATTGGAGGTAATAGTAATACCCCCTTCATTAAGCTGTTTTGTAGAAGAAATCAGTCAACCTATGTAACATGCTTAGAATAGTGCCTGACTCATATAACTGGCCAAAAAATCGTAGCTATTATTTTTTATGTATGCCTGTTGATTAGCTGTCTACCCACCTACTATAAGCTTCAGGAAGGTATGAACCTGACCTATTTTATTTACTCAATATCCCTGGAGCCTAGAATGGGGCTGGCATATGGGTTCCCTCTACACATTTTTTCCCCTTAAACTTTCTTTCTTTCTTCCTTTCTTTCTTTCTTTCTTTCTTTCTTTCTTTCTTTCTTTCTTTCTTTCTTTCTTTTCTTTTCTTTTTTTTTTTAATAGAGATGGAGTCTTGCTGTGTTGCTCAGGCTGGTCTCAAACTTCTGGCCTCAAGTGATCCTCCTACCTCGGCCTCCTAATATGTGAGATGATGGTCTACTGGGCTGGCCTTCAACACAGTTTCTGCTGTGAAATGATTTCATGCATGTTTCCACAGGCTCCATTTTAACCCTTTGCTGCCATGCCCAACCAACCTTCTCTGTTGCACACCTAGACCACTGCTGCGGTCTATTCCTGATTTTATGATGTCCTCTTTTCATTTCTTTATTTTTTTTCCTTTTAGAGTTGATTTTCTTATTGCAAGCTTGTTAAAAGTTGTTTAGAAATTTGAAAAACAAAACAGAAGACTATAAGGAAGAAAATAAAGCCCACTTATAATCCACTACTCAGAAATAACATTTTGATTGATGAATACTCCTTGTCTTTTTGTGTGCATATGTGTATATGTGCAAAGACACAAATTATATTCAAATATTTTTAACTTCCATTTTTTGTACATATTGTTATTTTAAAAAGTACACAAAATATACATGGCTATCTGAGATCTCGATCAGAGATGTGTTTATGTCTGTGTACTGTATATCTTTCTAGACTTTTTTCTATAGAAATTCAATAGCGAGAACTCTATGAATTTCTGATTCTTTGATTTTTTTACTTAAAAATGGCAATTTTGTATGGTTCAAATCAATATATTCTCACAACTTAATCTTATACTTCCAAGAGCTATTGCTGTTTGTATACCCAATGTCTGTTCTCTTGAATTTTCTCAATTATAGAACTTCTGCTTTATAACTGAACACATGGTCTCCTGAAAAAAGACATTTCCCATCTTCCTTCATAGAGCAGCATGGACATATGACTACATTTTGACAATGCAAATGAAATCTTGTGATGCCGCTTCTGGGAAATCGCCTAACAGTAACATGTGGCATATGCCATCTGCTCCCTCTTCATTCTCTCTTCCTCCCTTCGAAGCTTCCTTCCTTCTTGCTTAGGATGAGGATGTGATCGCTGGCACTCTGGCTGCCATTTTGGATTATGAGAAGGAGGGTCTACTTTAGGTATGGTCGAGGGGTGAGCTGAAAGCAGCCCAAGTCCTTAACTCCTTTGTGGAACTACCAAGTGGACTGCCTGGTTCCAGATTTCCCTTACGTGTTTCACACATTCTTATCTTGTTTCATCTACTGCTATGTGGGGGTCGGGGGTAGGGTAAGATTCTTTCACATGTGGCTGAATCAGATCTTAATCTGACACAATGCTATCCGTACTGTTTCACAGTTGGCTTTTGCTTTTGAGTTTTCACAATTTGATGGGTTACATTAGTATCACCTGGGAAGTTGTGAAGCCCACAGATGGCCCAACCTCATGTGTGGAGACTCTCTGAGAAGGATTGGGGGAGGGTGCCGGCTGGGGTTCGTGCATTTGACTTATTGGCACTCAGCATTGGTAAATCTCTGCTCCCCACCATTAGTTTTAATGGTTCCATAATATTTTATCACAGGGTTGCATCATAATTTATTGGCTATGTTACTGGGCGCTTGTTAATGATATTTGTATATCGTAAGGAATATACCAGAACGGTTTTTTTTATTGGCCCATGTGAACACATCTCTCCAAGCCAGCCATCCTCAGTGGAGCTGCCAGGATGGCTTTCTGCAACCCCTTTTGCAAGCACGTTTTCTTCCTTTCTCTTTTCAGGTTATTTTCTCAATATGGATTCTTTCCAGATCTATTTCTT